TAAAATCCAAGGATGATTAAATGAACACAAACATATTAAATTGTAGATTTTTTTCTTTTCTTCTTTCTTGAAAATCAAATAATTGTTTTATTAATTATATTGTGATAATTACGTAAATATACCAATTTTGATAATGTTCTATGTAGCGTTGAATTGAGTTCGGTCACTGCAGTAGCTGGGAGAGACTACAACAATGCGACTATCCCAGTCACTATATTGAAAGGCGGTGCAAATACCCAAGTCAAAGTTCCATTAGTTGATCAATTCCTGCATACCGATGGCAAAAGAACTTTTACAGCCAAGTTATCYTGTCCCAATCTCACAGCTGAGACAGGTGAAGTCACAAACAAGGTCGTTACTGTCACTGTTATCAACGATGATGGTAAGCGTTATTAGATATTCGATTGCTCAAAAGCACTTTCGTTATAATATCTACAAGTTTCATATGATTTTAAGTTTTAAAATCGATAAAATCGGCAAAAACGAGTTGACTTGACACGTACTTCCAAACAAGGTAAGATAACCATATATGGCTGCTAAAGGATGGCATTTGATTGTAAGGCAATTCTTTGTGATCCCAATTTTATGCCAATTTCTTTTTATCCTGCGTGCAGCGTAAAAAAATTGAACAATGAGAAGACTAAGTGATATWGTAAGGAGGGCCAGGGAGCGGCACTAAACACGKTTGCCAAGCAGGGCAGGTAGATGAAGAACATTCCTATATTACCTGCTCTTATTCAGAGCCTTTTATATACTTCCGAAAGTGGTGTACGGCACTCAACTCTCATTTTTACTCAACAAAGCGAAACTAATTAAAAAAGATACTTAAGAGGATATAAAATGCTACGAGAACTACATTTYCCGTTATGCCTTAATCGAGAAAATAGCCTTGCCGTATATTGCSTTTTTACCATCTTTGTGTAACATTTTTGCGCGCTGATTGGCTGATTAGAGTGTGTCAGTAAGAGGACATTCACACAGTGCTGACACCATCACGTCTCGTGCGCTCAATTGAAGAAAAGAATGATTTTCGCTAGTTTTTAGACTTAAATGTGGCAAAGAAAAAACAAATTTCGCAGGGTTTTGAGTTTTATGTCCTCTTATTGACACATTAAACGTTTAAAACTTTGCAGTGATTAACTCGCTGCGGTCTTGGATCCACTTAAGMTTGGCAAACAATTTAAGGCGTCAAGAGTTTGTCAACAAGAGGACATACAAATCAAAACCGTACGCAATTTGTTAAAAACATTGAAATGAAACCAAACAACTAAAATGGTACCTGCTCGATCTGCATTGCGCATATCGCTTGAAAGACAAGACATCGTTAAGAACCAATATTTATTTGTTATTCAGTATTTTTGATGGTTGCTGTTTGAATGTCTTTCTTATAGTGGTGATTGGATGGAATTTTACAAAGATGGTGATTAAAGAAAATTCTGGATGTACTGATCTTCGCATCGTCAAGAGTGGAAACTACATAGACGAGGGAACAAAGCATGCTATCACGTAAGACATATCAATGTCTCTTAAGTTCTTTCCCTGGTTTTTATTTGCGGGCCTTTCTTTTAAACTGATAAGATTTTTATCTTAACCAATATCTGATATGTTGTTTTGGTTTTGTTTTCTGAGTGGCTTCCACATCCGATAGATGCCAAAACTTTGAGCTAGGGATTTTTTAAATAGTACGATCTCTCGTCCATCTTCACTATATGGATGTAGATATATAGCGCGTCACTGATGTACGGACAGAATGCCTCTCATGTACATATTGAAGCACCTAAATTATTACAAATTCGTGGTTATTCATGAATGCCATTGCATAAATATCACAAAAACTCAGGTTCACTTAAGCAAATGAACTYATTGCTTAATGTTTTAGGAAAATTTATAGAGTTTAGCAAAATTAGGTAGCGCCGGGTTCGAATCTTCAGGCTCGACGTTAAAAAATCTCTTTAGTTTCAGTTTAAAATTTCTACGTACGTTCTTGTCTACATAAAAACTGTGTAAGAGACCTTTTTTATGTACATCACCCTATGTGTATACGTAAATCCATACATGAAGTCCTCGTTTTTCATATGCAGAGTACAGTCAGATCAGGGAAAGTCAGCCTGTCAGTCTTGCATCAAACCACTGAATGAAACCCTGACATTCAAGTCAAATCAAACCGAAAAGATGGTGTCATTGTGTGTTTATGATGACAAAGTTGCTGAGCGGAATACAACATTCACCGTTAAAATAACTACAGCAGACAAGAACATCAAACTCCAGCCGTCGTTTGCAACAATCACCATCGATGATRACGACAAGGGTAAAGTATTTAAAATCTTCATTAGTAATATTATTGAATTTGTTGACTTGCAATTATCTAGATATCTGGGTTTTGAGCCATTAAAATAGACGAAGTAGGTCAAAGCAAATCTTGTTTTGATGCAGAGGAAATCTTTCAACAATCTTGCAATGATTTACATCAATTAATCGCATGGTCTTCATAACTAGCTCAAAGTACCCGACATACCTCTAAAACCAGTTTTTCAGCTATTAAAGTATTGACGCCAAGTTTCCAGAATCCACTTGTAATCTAAAATATCACATTATTAACCGGAAGTTAGCATTTTAGAAGTAAAAATCCTTCAAGCCGTCACTGCAGAGTTTGTTCATACAGGTCCCGTTCGCCGCTCCCGGCTAGCTTTGACTCCCCGGAAAAACTCGAGTTTAAGTGACTGTTAACTACAGCTATCGAAGTCTTTGCGAATCAAAACATCCGAGTGATATTAGAAAGTAATAGTAAGAGAATAGGGGAAGAATTGCTATAGAAATGGCCTAACCTTCTTTATAGCTTGGAAATTTTCTGTGAGATCGAAGCGGCTCCGCGCGCGCTCCCAAGCGGAAGTGACTTCTTATTGGTTAAAAACAAATCTAAAAATAGCCACGTCTCTGAAAACGCTGTGACCAAACGTAATGCACCTCATGGACGCTAATAGTAATGGGCTCCTGTTGGCGTTTATTATACAAATCAATGACTTCAATAACTCAAAAAGWCACTGCTAGACATCTTATATGACGTTTTATAGCTGAAGGTGGAAATTAGCTTTGGCAGGTACTTCTGGGAGCAGACKTTCGGTATGTTTCAACATGCACTAACATGAGTACAAGATCTAAATTTTAAGTGAAACTCAGCTACCTATCTAACGTTTCCGTTGAATTCCGTTTTCTCTGTTTGAAAGCATTTCTATTGCACACCAATTCGCATCGTCGAAATATCTTTGTTGCCCCAGCGTGGCGCGCCGGGAGCGCGCGATGCAAGGAAGCGATCATAATAGCCGACTTGCGAATTACGCATCAATAGTCACATACAAAGGAATCAAGACGAGGCGCCGTGCTAAAGAMAATAGATTTTTCACAAAAAAGCACGGCGCCTCGTCTTGATTCCTTTGTATGTGACTATTGATGCGTAATTCGCAAGTCGGCTATTCAGAAAATATGGAAATGTGAACGCTGATCTTGATGTTATCCACCCACAATGCATTGCTTTCTCTGCTAAARCAATGGATTTCTTTGTTTTCCCTGTCAAAAAATGTATACGTCACTTGTATCGTCATGCACATTGGGCGCTAATTATTAACATTCAATGACACACGAGGTATCGTTCTCTTCTTAATTGTGAATTACATTACGAGTGTAATTCGAGAATATCGAATTCCAGTGCGTTATATTGAAGAAATATCTGCTAAATCTGCTTTAAAGAAACGGAAATATAGATTAGTCAAACAAGTGCCTTTTAACAACGTCGCGATGATATAAACAACGAGAGCGGYGAGAGTTGTACGGCTCATCATCTTCGACTTAAATCGACGAGAATATGTTCCTTTTTACATCAAATTGTAGCTTATCTCATCTAGTGTTTAATTCCGTTTCTAGATTTTTGATGTTTTTTTCTGTAGATTCTTATTGACGTTTTTGTATGTGATGACGCGTTGGAATGACAGATTGGCCGTACATCGCCTTGTACCAACTAAACATCAAAACATGCAATTTGAACGCACTAGAATTTAGTCAAACAGACTCAAATATCAACAAGCATGGGCAATACATAATATCTTTTTATATTCCGTTTCTAGGTTTTTTCTTAATTTCTATTTTAAAGAGTAGTTGAGAAAATTGTGCTAAAAATGGTCAAACGTGCGAGTTCATGGTTGAWATATATCACTAATGTCACTAATCACATTTTTGAAACTTCCARTTTTTGAGATYAACTGACACCTACAATAGTTGTGTAAAAAGATGAACCTATGCAAGGCARCACTTATTAACTTTAAGTTAGGCTAGYAATACTTTTTCTTAGTTTGCCTATCCCGAGGGTTACTAAAGCAGGCACGCGCCTAAATTCCTTTTTATAATGAAGCTTATCATATATCTGMCTACGGTATTTCAATCATAACATTAAATAAGGTTATGAAAAATGAAAAAATATGTACTTGTGCGAAATAAGTATTATTTTCGTCCAATGGTATTTAAATTGAAATATGATATGTTCCTATTTAATAACTATAAAAGTGCTTTAACCGGACCTCAACTCGTTAAATACCTCGTTCTAATTTACCCAAAATTATATTGCTTGAGATGAAATTTGCTATTACTTATTTTGGTTATAAATAATTTTCCTTTACACATTAGCCGTTATAGGCTGGAAATTCACAGGGAAACTAGTGCAAGAGAAATCTGGCTGTCTTTCAGCGCTTCTTGTTAGAAGTCAAGACGAAACAGGGCTATCACGAACAGTCAGGTAATGTTTATATATTGTTCAGATTGGAAATAGATATCTGCATTTAGTACTAATTAACATACTCGTGGACAATTGAAAATCCTATACATTCTGATTGTCACGCTTCTCGGGTTCAGTTTTCAATAGTCCTCGACTAGTGAAAAGCRCCAAGTTCAATTTTCGTTTAGAAATATATTGTGAGCTTAGTTAAGTTGTTTGGATGCAGTTTATGTCCCAAGTATTTTTAAAAGTGTTTGACTGGTAGTAATTGTCATATTCCGTTTCTCCAAAGAGTTCACACCAACAAAGTGAGTGCTACTCCTACCAATGGCTCCTGTAATTCATCTAGTTGCGCCGACTACTTATCCATCAACCAAAATGTCACCTTTCAATCAAAAGAAACGGAAAAGAACATCACTTTGTGCGTCTATGATGATCAACTACTCGAGAACAWTGAATTCTTTGAGGTGAAGATTGCCACAGACGAGCCAGAAAATGTCAAGATTGAGCCAGCTGTGATGGTCATCTTTCTTCTCGATGATGACCAAGGTAAAGTAATGTGAATAGCTAGTACAAATATCTGGTTGTCTCTAGCTTAATGTTTTTAATTCAGACGTTTCGATCTGYTCTCAGATCTTCTTCAGTGCAAAATGAAATCCGTTACAATTGTTTGCGCGCATATTGTGAAAACTAGAATGCGCGAAGCTTCAAGAGTTAACATGCGCGCGCATAATAAGTGTTCTATAGACATCTGGAATGGCTATTCTATAATTTGACGAATTATAGTCACACTAAGAGTGCCAAGCTTCAAGAAATAAACGTTTGTCATAATTAGGCTCCTTATCCAGCACACGAGCACCACTGAAATCGATCACGTGGTCGTCTTCTAAAACATGTTGGGCTAGCTTTGACGAAATTTCATGCTTAACCACGTTCCTGGATGTTCCTGGATGCGTGTTTTTAGCGATCTGTCTGTCTGTCCGTAGTAGGCAAACTATAAACACTCAGAGCAAGAAACCTTATACACTGCAGATGTGACGGCGTTACGGTCTTGGACGTGGGAAATAGCTACTGATCTTGGTAATAGGCTTGTATGCAACACCCAAAYTACACCGCCTTAACGTTCAGTATCTACACTCTACTGATGGTATTCCAGCTAGTTTCTATGGGTTACCAAAGATATATATTTTACTGCAATTAGTTGACATTCTGCCTTGGTCAAGATCAGATATCAAACCTGAGACCTTTGCTAGGGTCATGGACCTTTATATCTGATAAAGGCCACCCTTATTTGTATTCTTTACATAAAGAATACTAATAAGGAGTGTTTTATCAGATATAAAGGTCCATGCATGTGACCAAATAGGCTCATTCTATTGGCCTAATAACTCATTAATTATGTATGAGTTTTTGAAGAGTTGTTAATTCCGCACAAGATGAAAAAACGCATGCATCGCCTGAACCTTATMYCTCGACATGCAGTTTACTGACGGTGAGCAAATGTACCCAAACAAAATGAGATCAAATCTTCTCCAGAAAGGTTACGGACAGTACAGAAGAGAACAGACAGAATATTATTATTATTTTTTTTTTCAAAAAGGTAAAGCGTGCTTTCACTTCGATAATACACGATTAATTGTACAAGAGGAAATTGGGACAGTTAAATATTGTGTCAACAAGACCGGAGAACATAAATTTCCTGTAAATGTCAGGTAAAACCATCTTAGTATATCATAGTAAATGTTATCCTTCTCGAGGGAAGTTCGCTGTATGTGTCGATTCTTTTTTAAAAGTTGTCTTATAAGTGAATGCAATCGGTTCAAAATCACGTTGCACGTTTGTCATTCGCTCACTGCATAGGTCTTACTGTAAAAATGACACATTTTATCTAAAAAATCATTTTCAGCGTTACTGTACTTGAGGATGCAATAAGGTGGACTGCTGAAAAAGGAAAAGACTTTACCCTGGGAGCTGKTTCAAATAGCGTCACACTTAGTTTTAAACCAACAGATACAGCATTGTGTAGTAGTGTTAAGATTATTAACGATGATCAGCCCGAGAGTGATGAAATCTTTTCACTGGAGCTACRATGTATTCACGGCAAGACGTGCTGTTTGACTGGTACCGAGAACAGCACAGTTATCATACGCATTAAAGATAAACAAGGTAATTAATGTCCGTTCCTACGTCAAACTTTACACGTGGTGAGTATTCAATGGAAATTATTCAATCAATTGCTTGAACATTTCATTTCGATTTTCAAGTTCGATACATGTGCAGTTTGAAATTAAACGGGCCGGGCCTAAAAGAGTTTTTTTTATATTTTCAATCGCAGAGGTCATTATACTAAACAGCTAAAGCAGTTTCACCTGAAAGAAATTTCATCTTCCATATCTCTAAATCAACCCATTTGATATTGATTTTCTATTTGATATCGTTTTAGTCAATTCCTTTGTGTTTTTCTRGATCAACCACCGTGTTTTCTATTTTATGTTTCATTTTTGTAGACATGGAGCGCTATCTCGAGAATAAGGATGCTCAATCACAAGATCAGGGAGGTATAAATGCATAAAAAGATTTAAAACTGTTATTGTTATTATTTAAGTAAATCATTAAAATGATTTGTTTTGTTTTTTGTTTTTTTTGAGTGTTTTTTATTGTTATTGTTTGTTATTGTTGTTGTTGTTATTGTTGTTATTGTTGTTGTTGTTGCTGTTTTGTGTTGTTTGCTTTTGTTTGATTACTTTGTCTTTCATCTGAAATTGTCCTTATTTCCACAACAGATAAAAATAAAGATGTGTTCTACCTTCTCATTGCTGGAATATGCGTGGCATCTGTGACTCTAATTGTCATTATTGGAATGGGATGCTTTTTCGTGTAAGTCCAGTTAACTATGTGACAAGCCTTACTTTACTGTTAGTACTGATACATTGCATCCACAAGCAAAACCTGTTTTAAAAAAATTTTCTTTGCCTAAAGTTTAATATTTAGAGATAATGTGCCTTTTCGTCAAAAGTATAAATTAAGTTCGACACCTATCCAATTTTTGGGGCTAGTACCTACAGAGGCGTTAGCCCTATTGCTATCGCCTTTGTAAGWGCRTGCTTGGCAATGTAATAGCCGATTTACATTATGGCGTCATTTACTACAGCTACGAGAATGCTTTGCCAACTTTCTTTTGTAATGCAATTATTGCCAATTGTTTTATTAATCTCCAAGGGGATTAAAAATCTGAATAACAATGAAAATGYGCAATGCTCTCTGGTAGTTGTAGTTAAGTTACGCCATAATKCAAATGGCCTATTCGGGAGATGATCGTGACTTGATTAGTGTCTGATAGGTTGTTTCCATACCATCTCATTCGTTGCCGGCGAATCTTAGGAYCTGACTGGATTGATATCGACAGAGTCCTGCACGTGCTCCTGGCGAGACTTACGACTTCAAACAAATTCAGTCATGTTTTTACTCTATTTYCTATCAAGAACCAGGCTCAACTTTCTGTGTCTGAGTTTTTCTAGGTTTTCTGAGGGTTTAGGATATTTTATGCCTGTACAGAAAACAATCGAAGCGTCGAGGCATATTCTGTTTACTGAAAATCATGGCGAATGAAGAGTTTATCCCACCAAATCAAGTAGCTGTCTTCATGAATTAGCAACCTGCACTTGCTATCAAGGAGCCGTATTTCCATACCAAAGCAATACATCTCTTTATTCATGATAGCCAAAATTCTCGGTACCAAACGAATTCCCTCCGGGGAGCATTGAATTCCCTTCGGAAAGCTATAATACCCGTTCGCGGGTGTCAAACAAATTCCCTTCAAGGAGCATTGAAATCGCTTAGGGGAATATTGGGCATATTGCCGCACTAGTCACATGCAGTCACATTGACTGCGTATTTTTAACTACTGACTATCTCGTAAATCAAGCTTCGTTAATACTTCCCAAAGTAACTTTAAACTTCGAAGTCCCAGTCTTTTCTYTCAGTCAATCAAATCCATACAAACGAATAATGAAAAAATCCAATAAACAAGTTTGAAGATCTKAAAGCAAATCCTGGACCATCCAGAAGACCTGCAACATAAGCACARTTTTTTTTTGCTTYTTATTTCGATTTTTACTGGGTCTATGGACTAGCTTACTTCATTGAGATCTTTGACCAGTGTTTCAASATAGTCTACTTGAGGCTCAATTCACAAATCTGATTATTAGACATTTATTAATGATTTCTTTCTTTCTATTTCCAGAAGAAAGATTAACAAAACCGCGAGTGTCAACATGGTACCTGCTACAATTTATGGCTGATCAGTCCCTAGGAAGAGATGCCAGACRAAGCGTTTTTARTTGATGAACTAACAATATGGCTGCTATTACGTCATGCACCAAACAAGGTCGTGCTATCTACGACCCATTTTTTAGAAAAGCTACAATTGTTTAGTATATTTTGCATCTAGATTTGATGGCATTTTGTACTTGAGTCATGTGCTTGTAGATTAACCACACCCGTGTTACTTCATCAGCTTGAACAGCCTTTATATTCGTTGATTACTGAGATATGATGAATTTATGAAACGTTTCGCTCTTGACAGATCCAGGTGCTTTTAACTGTGTGGTTTAGAATCAGATTTATCTATATACATCACCTTAAAACTCTTTATTTATTGAATCTGCTAATGTCGTTTTAGTAAGTGTTGATCGATGAAATGTAAAGTGGTTTAACTAGTTTGTATTGGATTAAAATTTTTTCAGTGTTTCTCAAGAATATGAGTAATGCTTGTTCCATGTGCCAGAAAAACACTGAATGTTTGTGAAGAAACCTGAATATGGAGGACAGTCATATAGAATTCTACTGCCAAAAGAGCTCAAGGAGTCTAAAATGGGATAAACATTGCTCAAACCTTGAAGTAGATTTTGACCTTTGTTAGAATGTTATCCAATAGGCTTGTTTGAAACAGAAAGAAAAAAAAAAAACAGACTGAAAACAAAACCAAAAACCAAAAAACAAACAAACAAAAAACACAAACAAAAGAAAAAAGTGTCATGGCACTTTTAAGAACTACAAAGCCAAACAAAGAATTCTTCCAGAAAGAGGTCCAGTACACATTCCTGTATTTTGAAACATTCTAACTTTATGCACGATTAGAATATCGGCATTTTTCTTCATATCTCATAGCATGTGTTAGTGAAAGGTCCACATGCATCCGAGAACCTTTGCGCACTTTTCTCATACACGAAAAATCGCCATCTTTGATTTTGAACCATAAAAAACAACGTTCAAAGTTAAACAAGAGATTATTTGTAAAACAAAACAAACTATCTTAAAAGTTCCCAGATGCACTTGCTAGGACTTGAAATCTAATGTTTAAAGTTCGAYAATGAGGACTGGACGGGATTTCAAGTCCGCGCAATTAGTTCCAGTCCGAGGCGTTTTGGAGGACTTTGAACGACTTCTCATACTCATTAATTATTCGGGAGGCGAAAAAAGCGTAGGAAATACATATAACAGAAATATATTGATTTATTGCATCTCCACTAAGGTTTGCAGTTTTCATAATTTTGAATGACATGAAGCACCGTTTGTTGTTCTTCAATTTCCGGACGGCTTTCTCAAACAAAAGCTATTSAAATTGTCATTGTCTGCTATTCATGGCATTCCTAATGAGCCTAATCCATAAGATTTATAAGTATKTTATCTTCCGAGGAATCGCATCAGAAACTCGRTGGTGTAATGGTATAAGACGGCGCATATAGACTGGACGGTAGGGGATCGAGTGGTGATGGAGYCATGTATCAAAGACCTTTTTCACTAAATTAATTTTAAACTGATTATTTCTAATACTTTGATTATCATTAGCTAGTAGTAGTTGGAAACATGGTAGAAGTAGAGTACAAACACTAAAACTGTGCAACATAAATACCACTAAATACTGCTAAATWMTGCTAATTGTATTGTTTTCTATTGTTTAATTAACACTCTTTTGTAGTAAATAGTGGAAAGTATTGCACACATTTAATGTTTGTACTCTAACTGGAAGCAAGTAGAAATAGGTGGAAATAATGTAGAAGTAACTTGAAAAAGGTAGAGGTAGCTGGAAATGAGGTAGAATACAAGGTACGAGTACTTCCTCTGGTTTCAAGTTACTTCACGTGGTACAAATTACAATCASGKATTGSCTGGATACCTCATGAATAATTAATGAGTATGAGAATGATTCTGAAAAACTATTTTAGTTCTGTACTTTCGAGAAAAGGCAATTAGAATTTGTAGCGCCATTTACATAAATCGAACAGCAACGATTCATTTCGAAATTTATACAATATCGCAGWTCYCAATACTAATCGAATATTGAAATAGCCTGTAAACCGTTTACGATTGGACATATTTACTTTATTTCCTTTCAACTGTTACTGAAGGCCGTGCGCGATAATTACAAAAGGTGTTGGTTAAAAGCAATTGGACAAATAGTACACCTGGCATCGACAGAAAAGTAATTCAAAAAAAAGTTTCAGTAAACATAGCTGTGGTAGGATAATGGAAAACAAATGTGTAGTGTCAATACACCACAATATCCTTTCTTCAAATTTCATCTTTTTGGATATTTTCTACTTCCCTTACATATGCGTTTTACAGAAGTCAGCGTAGTTGAATTTGAAATCAAATTTGCTGAAAATGCACAGTTTTTCAGCTGGCAATAAAATTATATGTCGACTTCAAATGCAGTTTTCGTTTAAGTTGGCTAATAATTTACGAAGCACAATATCCGCTCCCATCAAAACATAATTGACCGATAAACGATAAGAGCACGATAAGAAATAGATAACTGTATTTATCTGAGGAAACTGGCGAAGAATCAACGTGTACTTCCTTGTACAATACATTGATCATTTTGGAAAACTGTATCATCTCTACTACCATTTCATCAAGGCAAAGAGAATAGTGATAATAATGGCATATCTGAACATGATCACTTGTACATTTGTTAACATTACTTCTCTTCCTCAATCGTACAATTTATCTTTTRTAACAGTTTTCATACTAACAGCCGTGACTTCTGCAGCTTTGAACATATTAATTATTGTAGGAATCTGGATGACCCCATTGCTTCATACACCTTCCTATGTACTTGTTGCAGTCCTGTCAGTCACGGATATTTTGGCGGGATTTTTTGGAGCATTGTTGGTAGCGGCAAGCAAACTGTTTTTCTATTCAATGGATAGCAGCGTCTTCCACTGTATGTTAATAGTCGCCAGCAAAGCGTATGGATACATGGTCTGTGCAGCTTCTATAACTACACTGGCAGCAATGAGCGTCGACCGTTTGTTTGCCATCACATTAAAAACAAGATATAGCAATAACAAACTCATGATGAAGGTCATTCTAGCTCTACTTATGATGTCTTGGGCTATTCTCTTTTTCTGTTCGATGTATTTTTCCATTGGACTGAATCCACCAAGATTGCAAGTCTTGTTTCCAATCATAGGAGTCTTCTTATCTGTCTTCATGGTTATTATAATCGTTTGCTATGTGGCAGCATACATTAAGTTAAAAAAACTATCATCATCGACTGTTGGATCAAGAAATTCTAACAATTCGAAAATAAATTTGGAAAAATATCGACGTATTCTAAACACCTTTGTAATCGTTTGTGTGGTTCTTTTAGTATCTTACACTCCATTCATATCGGCGTCTGCTTTCATTTCATTCGAAGGCATAGCAGGGGAAAATACATTTTCTATTCTGCTGCTTTTGAACACTTCTGAATTTCTGATGTATTTTTCTTCTACCGTAAACCCCTTGCTTTACTTCTGGCGGATGAGAGAACTTCGAAATGCGATAAAAAAGGTAGCAAATTGTGTATTACGCAGGCAACAAGTAGAAGATCATCACCAAAGTTGACTTGGCAAAGCTGGAAGTCCACTCCCATGTATGTTTAGGTTGTCAAATAAAAGATCGAAAAATATATATGAGAAATAAACCCATTTTATACACTCAGTGTGTCTGAAAGACGCATTTTTGCCGGCTAAATACGCTTGCCAACTCTAAGACCCCTTTTGTGATGTAATCTCTTATATATCTATATTTATCATATAATTATCTATGAAATACCTATAATTCTCCATTTCGTAAACTTGATATAATAACACTACCGAAAATAACACATTCGAGGTTTCTCTATATTGTGCAAGTAAGAAAAAAGCTATTTTACGACATAATTCGCTTTCATATACAATTATATGATAAATAGATCTCGTGAGAGATCAACACTCGAAGATAAAATCCGTATGTCAGCGCGCCCATGTAATATCCTCTACATATTATATACGTATGTCGAAATACAAAGAAAAAAAATAGATTCCTTTTCAAAAGCGGAAAATAGACAAAATCCAACAGCCGTATAAGTACAAAATAAATGCAAAAGTTAAAAACAAAKCGAATACAGAGACTACAACGAACAAAAATTGTCTAGTAATTGTCTCAATTCATAGTTAGCAATCAAGAAATTGAATTGCTTGGTGTYCTTTGGCTGTTACAAGAGCCGATGTTCAGGAACAGCAACTATATACTGTTTGATTAGTTTTAAGATGAAATATCAGCATTACCACCTTACAGGTAATAYCAACTGAGAGATATTGCATCTGCGAAATCTTCAKGTGATTCTCTTTGTCTTCTCTCTGTAATCTACCCATGAAAATAACACAAAGTGGAGCTTCCATTATAGAAATACACTRAATAGTTTGAATTTCAATCTATGACAAAAATGCAATTACATTTTAGCATGGTGTTTAAGGTCTTGATTTTATGAAGCGGGCTGCGAAATTGTGAGAGCAGCCCGTTTTCTTTYTTTAATTTGTTCCTAGGGAAAAGAAAACAAGACAACAGGCCACTGAATTGTATCAGAATCAGAAAAGTAATCAAGCAAGTGTTTAAAAATCAAGAAGAATCCTTAGCACTATTTACAGACGCGTGCAATTTCAACCAAAAAAGTTAAACAGAAAAAAAAAAAAAAATAGATAGCTTCTTGCCAATGTAGACAAAACCAATTACAACGTAACAATCGTAAGAATCAAATGGAAACCTTGCTGTTGTTGGGAGACGCGCGCAATTACAACGTAACAATCGTAAGAATCAAATGGAAACCTTGCTGTTGTTGGGAGACGCGCGCAATTACAACGTAACAATCGTAAGAATCAAATGGAAACCTTGCTGTTGTT